CCACAGCTTGTGGGAATTCAGGAAATTCAGGCCGAGGGGTTTCAATGTGCTCCCAAGCGGAGGCAGGAGCAACTTTTGGAGGGGTGATGGATGCAGGGATAATATCCTTGGGCTCTTCCTGGCTGGGTCGAGTTGGGAAAAGGACAGGAGAAGTCAGTTCTTGGGGCTCCTTGTGGATTCCTGGCTGGGTCGAGTTGGGAAAGGAGCAGGAAAAATCAGTTTTCGTAGTGGGAAAATGGGCTGTGGGTGAGCTGGAGAAAGCTGAACCCCAGGAAATGCAGGTAATTGCTTGATTTTTATTTAAAAATAAACTAAGTCGACCAATAGACTGAAACAAGGACCAGGTTGGAGAGGGAGAAATACTTTTTTAAATATATATTTTTAAAATATTTTATTTCTAAAATTTCTTTTTAAAATATTCATTTTTAAATATTTATTTTTAAATATTTATATTAAAATATTTATAATATTTATCAAATATTTATAATATAATTAATAATGTTTATATTTTAAATATTTATTTTAAATATTTATATTAAAATATTTATTGTTAAATTTTAAAAATTATTTTATTTTTAATTTAATTTTTATTTTTATTTGATTTTAATTTGATTTTAATTTGATTTTAATTTTCTCTTTTATTTGTTTGAATTTTAATTTAAAATTTATTTTTACATTTTAAAAATGTATTTTAAAATATTTTTTAAATTATGGTTTTCTCTTACACATCTAATTTTGGCCCAGGATTTTACCTTGTTTATTCACCTGAGAACAAAACAAGCTTTTACCTCCCCTGACCTGGTTTCTCACTCACATGCTTGGTGAGGATGAGATGATTAAACCCAGCTGGCTCACAAAATCGTCATGTAAATCCTCTTAGATGAGCTGGGGAGGATGTTTCCACTCAGATTTTCCCCTCTCCCTCCATGGAAAGTGTTCCCAGGGCTGGGGTTTTGTGGGGTTTCATCCCCTTTTGCTCTGGGTGTAAATGAGAACAAGCAAAGACAAATTGGGCGTGGGAAATGCATGTTGAGGGAAATTGGGCCAGATTTTTAGGATTAAATGGTTTCCCATGGGATGTGCCCCCCCATCCCTTTTGGAGCATCTTCCAGCTGGGATGTTGCCCCAGGATGACACGACTTTGTCCAAAGCCTTCCTTTCCCCTAAAGCAACAATGTCAAGGCTTGTGGTTTATAAATGTACCACAGGGACCTTTATACACCAAATATCCCGGCATTAGGTGTCAAATCTGCTCCTCCTCAGGCCCTTTTTTCTTGGAAAGGGAGCTGCTGCTGAGGAGCAGCTTTGCCATCGGCTGTGTGGGAGCAGGAACAAGCCACCAGGCGTTGTCTGGCACGAGGAGAAGCCCAGGGAGAGACTGGGCTGCTCTGGAGATGCTCAAGATGCTCCTGTGGAGTTGTCATGGGTACGATGCTCATCTCCATGGCTACAGGGGAATGTGAGGGATGTGGGAACGGGGCTGGGAGCTGAAATGCTGCATGTTCTCCCTCAGCTGGTGTAAATAAATAATGCTTGGAACCATCCAAGAGGTTTATTTCCAGGGTTAACAGCTGGGTTTTAGCTGGAGCCTGGAGACAGCTGAGATTCCAAACGGTTTTATTTGTGAACGACTGAGATTTGCAGCATCTCCCCTGAGGTGTTTCCATGGTGGATTCCCTGAGGATCCAAGTGTGATGCACTCAGAGGAGGCTCAGGGGGTTTTACTCACCCTTAGCCAATGTGATTGAAAATCCCAGATAACATTCCTGCTTCTGAGCCAAGATTATGTGACGGGAATGGCTCCCTGAGAAATAAAGTCGTGTGCAGACAGGGAAGTTCAGTTTTGACAGGGATATGGAGAAGGAAACATTTTGAAATGAGGTGTTGTTTTTTTTTTCCCAGTTAACAATATTTTGGATAAAACCAAAGATTATGCACAGCAGGACCATCTAGTTAATACAGTCTGGATTTTGGATGTGCCAGTTTTGGGGGATGAGTGGAGAGACACCAGAGCCAACAATTCTCCTGAAGGATTTCTCCTTAATTTTATCTCTAACTTTACCAAAGCAGGTCTCAGGCCACATGGAGAATACCAGGACAACAAAGTTCCATCTGTGCAGAGGGCTGGGATTCCAGGGGAAGGAGCCCACAGGCTTTTCAGAGCCTGGGATTGCCCTCTGTGCCCTCGAAAGGAAAAATCCAGAGGTATCAAGCACAGGATGCAAAGCATTTTATCTGGTGATGCTTCAAGGGGATGGAGAATGGTTTAGATGATGAAAATAAACCTTGTTGTGAGTCTGGTGGGAGGAGGACCAGAGGGCAAAGCCCAGCTTGGGAAATGTTTTACTCCATGATGGGCAAAGAGAATTTTTTCTCACCCTGTGATTATCCCCAAAGCTGCCTCTGACTGAAGGACACAACAGGAAAGTGCCCTTTCCCAGTAGCTCTGGCGACCTCGGCTTGGTTTGCAGAGCATTTCTCAAGCCCAGAGGGACCCTGAGTACAAAATAATGATCAAAAGGCAAAAGAGGGAGGAGATTCCATTTACAGCAGAGGATCAGGACTGGCTGCTTATCCCGAGCTCACTCTGGGTTTGTTTCACAGCATCATCCTGAAAGCAAAGCCTCATCCAGAGCCACTAAACAGCAAACAACGAGCAGCACTAATAAAGCAACACAGTTTATTGTTCTCAAAACTTTATTCTGGCCTGAAAAATCTGTGCCATCCAAAATATTCTCATGGCATCGAAATTCCAAGGAGTTTTTCATGTTAAAAACAAAGGAAACTGGAGCAAAGCCTCTGGGACCTGGATTCTCACAAAGCTGAGCTTGTTTGGGAATTTGGGTTAAGGAGTCAGTAGGTAATTCATGGCTCAGAAAAAAAATGGGATTTTGGTATAATTACATAACTCCTCAGCTGAGATTAAATGAAATTTAAGATGAGAATTGGGATCTTATTCCTCCCTCAGTAATTACTGGAGATCCGCTGCACAAACAGCTTGAAAATGAACATTTTGGGGATGGGAATGAAATTCTGAACAACCCTCCATGGCAGCTGGTTTGTATCTAAGCTTCCTGAGCTGTTTTTAGGGGATGATGAGAAGAACAGATGGAAGAGGTCATGGATCCTTTTTCTGGAGGAAAAAGGGAGGTTGGTGTTCATTGAAAAACCGGGAGAAAAGAAGGGAAACAAAATAACAATGGTAAAATTGGGTACTATTGTAATTGCAGGAATAGACTGATTCTGGCAAAACTGGCTGCACTTTTCCTGTGTTTCTCCTTAGTTCCGGGAATAGAGGAGAACAATTTGGATCCTGAAATAGGTGTTGGGGGGGGAAACACACCTGGGGTGAGCAGAGATGCCAACCCAGGCAGAGTTGCTGCCTCCAGCCTTTGAATTATTAATTGGGATCTATTAATTATAGACACTTCTGGGGTCAGTGGGTGCAGCACAAGGAAGGTGAGGTGTCCCAGGGGTTGAATTCCAAGAGGAGGATTTGAGAAGGGAAGTGGTTTAATCAACACCAGTTTGGTTCAGCCTTTAGAAGTCGCCCAACACAGATCCAGACAAACTGAGACAGGAAAAAAACCTCTCTGACAGAGGAGACACCCACTTTTCATTAAAAAAAATACTTTTAGGAGCTGGAAACGAGTCGATTTCAGTCTTTAATTTATCAATACAAATAATCAAGCAGAGGGAAGGTGCCTGTGTGGGGTGGGAGTGGAGGTTAATCATAAATCATGACCTGGCTTTGGGTGGGGAATTATTATCCAGCTTGTCCTCACTTTTTTTTTTTTTTCAAAACCAAAGTGCCCTCCAGGTGGTTTAGAACAATTTTCTGGATTATTCCTTGGTGATTTACCATTAACTCAAAGTTCTTCACATTTTTAATCCACCTACCTTCCAGGGAGGGAGCAGAGATAATGCAGTGCTGACCATACACATAATATGCATCTATTTTGGGGTGAATCTCCCTGTTATTCATTATTTATCTGTTATTTATTGTGACCCACCTACTAGAAATGATTTTAGGAAGAAGAACCAGATGAATTCACTTTGTTTGTTTGTGGGCCTTGATGATCTCAAAGTTCTTTTCCAACCCAAACAACCCTGTGATTTTGTGATTTTTTTAATCAATGGATGAACTAAATAAATACTATTGCTTTTATGTTACTTAACATTTAAAGCAGATAATCCCTGTGCTCTTCTGCACCACAAAGTGGATATTACTGTGTTTAAAACGTAACACTGCCATGGAGAGGAGCTTATAAAAACAAGGCAGACCTTTCCTTTTTAATTATCTCAGCATTTCATGACTCTAAGCCTTCAAAATACACCAAGCTGGGAGCAGGAAAGTCGGGAATGTATTTCCTGATTGAATCCCAGGTATGAACATCACTTTTCCCCACCACCAACCCTCCTCTGACCACAAAATACTCCGTTTTAAAGCTGATTTTTGCACATGACGCCATCACATGTTTTCCAGATGGGCCGAGGGCATCCCTGGAGACGGGGTTCCTGCAGAAATCCTCCTTCGGGCTTCAACTCCCTAAATCCCTTTGGAAAAAGCCTTTCCAACACTGACCTCTGCAGGAGAGGAACTGCCTAAAACCAGCTGACTCTGGGCAACAATAACCTAAATAATACATAAACCAGGTGTTTCCTGCTGGCTGTGGGTAGGAAGAGCCTTTTAATAATGCATAAAAATGGGGCACTTCTCTCTTGGTTGGCAAACAGAGACTATTTCGGGGAGGGAGATCCTGGGAAATCCTCGTTTGGTGGATCTGCAAACTCCTGTATGGATTTTGTAAATAATTTGCTGTTGGACAAAGCAGTTTGAAACGAGGGGGTGAAGGATATGAAAGAAAAGCAGGAATTTCATGCCATAAATGTATAAATTGGGAGGCAAAGCCCTGCCTGGGCTTCCCTGGGAGCAGGGGAAGAGCCCCCTGACCACGGCAAGGGGATGGAACGACGGATTTTTAAGGTCCCTTCCAACCCAAACCATTCCATGATTCCATGACTGAAAACACAGCAACCCCCTTCGCCTGCAGTTTTGCCCCTGAGCCCCCAGCTTTAATTAAGCTCTAATTCAGCTGTAATCCTGAGGGCAGGAGAGCCCCGAGCCCCACAGTAGGAGGGGGTTTTGTGTGCTGGATCTTGGGGAGATGGAGTTGGGGGTCCCGTGGGCCACTACCAGGGGCTTGCCCATTCACCTCCTCAGCCCCGGAGCCCCCTCGGCCCTGGAGTCTCCTTGGATCCAGCCCTGGAGCCCCCACCTCCATGTCACCCTCTCAGCCCTGGAGCCCCCTCGGCCCCAGAGCCCCCTCAGCCCTGAGACCCCCGTGGCCAGGGCGATTCCTCAGCCTTGGAGCCCCCATTCAGCCCCTGAGCCCCCTCAGTCCCTGAGAGCCCTCAGCCATGGGCTCCCCTCATCCCCAGAGCCCACTGAGCCCCCCTCAGTCCCTGAGAGCCCTCAGCCATGGGCTCCCCTCATCCCCAGAGCCCACTGAGCCCCCTCAGTCCCTGAGAGCCCTCAGCCATGGGCTCCCCTCATCCCCAGAGCCCACTGAGCCCCCCTCAGTCCCTGAGAGCCCTCAGCCATGGGCTCCCCTCATCCCCAGAGCCCACTCAGCCCCAAAGCACCTCCAACTCCGGAGCCCCCTTGGCCCTGGGCCCCCCCAGACACAACCCTGGCCCCGGAACCCCCTCAGCCCCAGGGGCCTCCTTGGCTGTCCCCCCCCTCAGCCTTGGAGCCCCCTCACCCCTAGAGCCCCTTGAGCCCCAGAGACCCCTCAGTCCTGGAGACCCTCAGTCCTGGAGACCCCTCAGTCCTGGAGACCCTCAGTCCTGGAGACCCTCAGTCCTGAAGACCCTCAGTCCCGGAACGCTCCTCAGCCCCAGAGCCCCCCTTGGCTGTGGCCCCCCCCGGCCCCAGAGTTCCCTTGGTCCCAGAGCCCTCTTGGCCCTGGAGCCCCCTCAGCCGCAATCGCGGCCCTGAAGCCCCCCCTTGGCTGCAGAAATTCCTCAGAACCCCCTCAGCCCCGGGGCCCCCTCAGAACGGTTCCCTGTGGAAAGCAGGAAGATGGAGGGTGCGAACAAAGGAATCAGTGGTGGGTTTGGCTGGGAAGGGCTTTAATGTGCCCCACAGTGCCCGGGGGTCCCGGGTGTGGGGAAGTGTTGTGGGGCAGTGGTGGGTGTCCATCCTTGGGGGTCTGTGAGGGGTGAGCTGGGGGTGAGAGAGAAATGGGGACCCTTCCCCTGCACCCTGGATCATCCAGGCTCTGGGAGCATCCCTGAGGGGTGCTTAGACCCCGAAGGGTGCAGAGGAGGGACCCCAAACTCCACAGAGCACCCCTCAACGGGGAAGGATGTCACACCCGAAACAACACCGAGGAAGAGATGTCAGAGGGATCTGAAGCCCTGCAAGATGTCAGAGGGATCCAGAGCCCTGCAGTGGTTGGGCACAGGTTTGGTGGGAGCTCATGGGGTGTGAGGCACACTCAGCAGACCCCCATCCTACAGCTTGAGTGCCGTGACACGGGGGATGTGGAAGGGACAGGTCTCCTCTGAGCCCGTAGAGCTGCAAAGGAGAAGAAAACATGGGGGGGTGGAGTCAAGGAGGAACTGAATTCCCCTTTCCCTCTGTCCTCCTACAGCCCACGGTGTGCCCACCCCGTGCCCACCACTCACATGAGCCGGTTGCGGATGGGGCGGAAGTGTTTGGTGAGTCTGATGGCAAAGATGATGTTGGGGATGAGAAAGAAGGTGCAGCAGCCCAGGCTGAACCAGAAGGCATTCTGCAAGGAGAGAGCACGGGGGTCCTGCTGAGCTGTGGGGAAGGGGCAGCCCCCAGGCTCTGGGGGAGCTTGGGGAGTCATGGAATCACAGGATATGCTGAGTTGGGAGGGACTCACAAACACCATCAGTCCAACCCTCAGCCCTGCACAGGCCCAGCCCCAGAGTCACCCCCTGTGCCCCAGAGGATCATCCAAACCCTCCTGGAGCTCTGACAGCCTTGGGGCTGTGCCCACTGCCCTGGGGAGCCTGGGCAGTGCCCAACCAGCCTCTGGGGGAAGAACCTTTCCCTGAGATCCAACCTGAGCCTGCCCTGACACAGCTCCAGCCATTCCCTGGGTGCTGTCCCTGGTCCCCCAGAGCAGAGCTCAGTCCCTGCCCCTCCTCTGCCCCTCCCCATGGAGTTGGAACTGCACTGAGGTCTCCCCTCAGTCTCCTCTGCTCCAGCTGAACACACCAAGTGCCCTCAGTGTCCTCACACCGGCCCTTCCCCAGCCTGGTTTCAGGTCCCCTCTGGCCCCCCGGAGGGATGGGATCCTTACCCAGGGGTCAGCGATGCGGTCACACAGGATGACCCTCCCGTTGTCCAGGGCTGTGGCCAGGGGCTGGCACGAGGCCACGTCCTCCCTCAGCTGGAACAAGGGGTAGAGACAAGGCATAAGTGCTCTTCTGGCCCGGGGGGATGCATTTTGCTGCCAAGGCTCAGCTCAAGGATTGCATGTGGGATCTGTGGGAGGGTCCTGGCCCCAAGAATCCCCCTGGGTTGAAGGGGAGCACTCACTCACCGTTTGCCCCACCCAGTTCAGGTACTGGGTGAAGTACCGCAGCTCCTTCCTCGTGAAGCAACCGATCTCCTAGGAAGGGGGAAGGCAGCGTGGAGGGACAGTGCCATGATTTCCAGCCCTGCTCCAACCACCTCCGGGCTAATGTCAGACTTGGAACAAGAGCTGGAAGCTTCAGGTGCTCCTTCCCCTCTTGCGCTCTTTCCTTCTGGAATTTTGTACCCCCTGAGGGCTCATCCAGCCCCGTCTCACCTGCCGCAGGATCTGCTGGGCTTGCACGGGCAGCCGGGCTTCCACCGAGGCCGTGGTAGCCAGTGTCCTCTTCACTCGCTCCTGGGGGGGCACAGCAAGAGCATCCTTAGAGCAGGGAGCAGCAGGATGGGTGCCCCGGGGTGCTGGGAGCAGGGCGTGCCAAGCCCTAAGCTGGGTCTGGTTGCCGGAGGGCAGAGAAAGAGGGATGTGCCCCTGTTGCAGGGGGATTTCTGATTTGCAGCAGCAAATCTAATCACCAAAGGAGATTGATCCTCCCTGGATGGTGTTTTTCCTGGCTCTCCCATCACCCTGTAACTGGTGTTTTTCCTGGCTCTCCCATCACCCTGTAACTGGTTTTTTTTGGGACACTGGCAGACAGGACCCATAGGGCACCACATATTTTTTGGAGCTGGAAGAAGATGTTGAAGTACCTTGAGATGTGGTGCCAAGCGGGAGAGGAACTGGACGCTTTCCCCCAGCTTTGCCTGTGGGACAGTGAGGTGAGAAGGATGAAAAAGCCTTCAAAGGGACACCACTGGGCAGTGCCAGTGGTACCACAAGCCACCAGCCTGGCACAGACTCACCACCAAAACCTCCTGTGACTGCACTGTGGAGTTTTGCATCTGCCACAGGGCTCGGGCCTCGGCTCCCAGCCGTCCTGCCACCGTGCTGTTCCTCTGCGGGGGGACAGTGGGGTGAGGACACCCCCATGGGCACAGAGGGGCACAGAGGGATCCCCCAAGGACATGGAGAGATTCCCCACCACCCACCCTGCTGCTCACCTGCATTTTCTGCAGCCCCTCGAGGTTCCTGGCCAGGCCAGGCAGGCTGGTCTGCACCAAGGGGTTTTTCATCTGAGGGAAAACAGAGTCGGTGGCTGCCCAAAATCCAAACCTGGAGGACTCTCCCGGTATGGGGCTGCATCCTGCTCCCTGCAGAGGGATCCAGCTCCCCTCACCTCCTCCTGGAAGCGCCCATAGTCCACCTCGTCCAGGCCGCTGCGGGCGAAGGTCTCCAGGTCCTGCCTGCCCTCGCTGCGCAGGAGCCGCACGTCCCCCAGGTGGGCAGTGAAGTCTCCCAGGCGTTTTTGGAAGTCAGCCGTGTACTGTGAGGGTTGGACAAGGGATCCTGCAGGGCTGAGGCCAGGCACCTCCATCCCAGTAACCCCAGTAAAGCTCCTGCATCCCTGAGCCGTTACCAGCAGCTCTGGCTGGTGCCGCCCTCACCTTGGGGGTTTTCAGGTGCTCATCCAGGTCGTAGGACCTGTCGAGCTGCAGCACCTCCCACAGCCCTGCACCGCTCTTGCAGTCCCTGGAAGGCAAAGGGATGTTGGCAGCATGATCCCAAATTTGCCCTGGATGTGCAGGGACAGGGGTGGGCTCTTGCAGCACCCACCGGTACGTGGCACTGAGGTTGGAGTCCCTCCTCAGGTTGAGCTGGCGGGTGAGGTTCATGGATGGAGGGAGATTCCCAGGGGTGTCAATGAACTGGGCCAAACAGGAGGAAAGAGAGGGTCAGGGTCAGGCACAGGCATTCCCAGCAATGATTCTGGGGGTGTTCTGCCCTCACAGTTGTGTCCTGAGGTACCTCATCCCATCCAGAACTAATCTTGCCTTTATTTGTACGGTCCCCACTGCAGAGACTCACCCAGTGTGTTCAGAGGGAAAGCAGTGGACAGCCCTGTGCTGGGACCTGTCTGCATGTGTCCAGCCATGGGATGAGTCCCGATCCCATCCCCAATCCCCCAACCCCTCTCTCAGCACCATCACACCATGTGCCAGCCCCAAGCACCCCAGAGATCCCCAAGGACCAGGGAACAGGGATCCCACAGGTAGCAAATTAACAGCCTGAAGGAAATTCCCTGCTGCTGCTGCAAATCCAAGGACATCATCCTAAACTTAATCTTCTGGTCTAGGATGGGGCTTTTCCAGTCAGGTTTAGTGGGAGGATTAGTGGGAGGACAAAGAGTGTTTGGAGTCATTTTGGAGCACACAAGCAGAGATTTATGTGGCGACAGGTGCATGTGTGGCCACCCACCTTATAAATCTCCTGGTTGACCCAATTCCTGCAAACCAGCGTCTGGATGTTGCCCCCAACCAGGAAGGTGGCGAAAACGAGGAGGATGAGGAGCCAGGAGAACAGGAAAGCCAGGCCCACGCCGCTGCAGGAGGGAGAGGAGGGGGTGGGTCTGCAGCCCCGAGAGGGCAGGACCGGGGCTTGCAGGGACCTGCCCGTCCAGCTGCAGCCCCGCGGCTCCTTCCCGAGCCCGGGCACGCTGGGCTGGGAAGGGCCCTGGGAGTGGGGTGTGCCGGGCAGCGGGGCCAGGGCACAGGAGCTGCCAGCTCCCAGGGAGGAGCCGCTTCTCCCACTCCTCCCGGCGCAGGCGGTGGCATCAAAAGCCTTTCCACTGGGCTGCCTCCCAGTTCCTCCCTGGGCTTTGCCCTCCTGGGGTTTTTTGGGGGGGATGAGATGGAACAGCCCCTTTGGGACACAGGGGGATGCTTACACCAGGAGGAACTTGGCACCAGCCTCTCCTCGGCACTCGTAGTCACTCGGGTCCTCACGCTTGGAAAGCCCGTAGGCTCCCAGAGCCATTCCCATCACGTTGCAGGCAAGGATGAGGAGGATGATGGAGCACAGCACCGTGCCCGCGATCCACCTGGGGGGCAGAGCAGCAGGGCACAGCCTCGAGAGAGTATCCTGTCTGTTTAATCCTGAGAACCAGCTGAGGAACAGCTTTGTATCACAAGACCACTATGTAAAGGAGAGTAAGGTGCATCACTTCAGAAAAGGAAAGGCAGCACTCAAAGTGCTTGATCAACAACGACTTCAAAGTCTCTAAATCCATTAACTTGATGTTACCACAGTTCAGTTCAGCAGCACCTTGAGTGTAATATTTCTCAAAGTTGCTTCAAGTTGTTAGTTTGTGTTCATGTTTGTGTTGCGTCTGGCTGAGATGGAGCTCATTTCCCCACAGCCCTCATATACGGGGCTGAGGCACCAGCTGGGGCTCAGCAGGGCTCAGCACCCACCCCTGCTGCACCCCTGCCCCCCTCCCTGCTCCCCAGAGTCACCTGTAGTGCTCGAAGCGCTCCACCTCCCGCAGGTAGGGCCGGCTCCGCTCCTCCGCCGTCACCAGGGCTTTGCTGGCGGGCCGGGTGTAGTCAGGGAGGGGGAAGCTGTCAGCGATGGATTGCACCTTCTGTGCGGTGCGGGACAGCTCCTCCCGCAGATCTGCGGGGCCAAGGCTGTGCTGGAGGTGTGGATGGTTCCCTCATCCCACCCTGTGCCCCCTCAAATCAGGGTTCGCCCCTTGGAGGGTGTCCCTGGTCCGACCACCTCACTCACCCTGGATGACCTGTGCCATCCTCTCCACGGCCAGCTCTGGGATGGAGTTGAAGGTGCCATTGCCCTGCAAGGAAAGAGGGGGTGCTGAGCTGGAGCTGCACGTGGGCGCTGGACCCCCCTGCTCCACCCTGGCCCCCCAAACCTGGCGAATCATCTCCTCAAAGTCGCTTCGGGGCAGCCCGGCCATGGCCTTCAAAACCTTCTCCACCGACGGCACCTTGGGGTGGAAGAATCACAGAATCACAGAATTACAGAGGCTGGAAAAGACCTCTGAGATCATTGAGTCCAACCTGTGACCCAACCCCACCTTGTCCCCCCCACCATGGCACTGATGCCACATCCAGGCTCTGCTTAAACCCCTCCAGGGACGGGGACTCCCCCCCTCCCTGGGCAGCCCATTCCAAGGGCTGATCCCTCTCTCTGGGAAGAACTTCTTCCCCAGGGCCAACCTAAACCTGCCCTGGGGCAGCTCCAGGCTGTGCCCCCTTGTCCTACTGCTGGTTCCTGGGAGCAGAGCCCGACCCCCCCGGCTCCCCCCTCCTGGTAGGGAGTTGCAGAGAGTGAGGAGGTCTCCCCTGAGCCTCCTCCTCTCCAGGCTGAGCCCTCCCAGCTCCCTCAGCTGCTCCTCACAGCACTTGTGCTCCACACCCTTCCCCAGCCTCGTTGCCCTTCTCTGGACACGAGGCAGACAAGAAGGAACCCGTGAGCCCCGGGGAGGTGGTGGGTGCCCCTCGCCCCGTCCCACCTTGCCGTAGTCAGCGCCCAGCTCCAGGCTCTGTGCCCTGCCCAGGGCGCTGGCGCAGGAGGTGCAGCGGGGATCGTCGAGCAGCGCGACCACCCGGCCCCGCCGCTCCCGCAGCGCCGGTTCCAGCTCGGCCCGCGCTGCCGCCAGCGCCCGCGAGGTCCCGTCAAGAATCTGTAAATGGTGCAGCGAGGTCTGTAGGTCTTAAAGAGAAAGCCCAGGGCTAGTTCACGCTGCTCCAGAGGCTCGGCCACCCCGGCTCCCCCTTTGGGGTCGGGCCCCGGCGGAGCCGCACTCCGGCCATACCTGCAGCCCTGTCCTGCAGGTCTGAGAGCGCCGCGTAGGTCATGGCCTTGAGCTGTGTGTGGATGGAGAGCCCCACGCTCCGGCTGAGGCCTGCAAGGCACCGGGAGCCGCGTCAGCATCCCCGTGGGAAGCTCGGGATGCGCCCTCCCCAGTGCCCGGCGAGGCGCTTACCGCCCAAATCGGAGATTATCTGCTTGCGGGGCACCTCGAACTTGTCCACCACCATCTGCACGCCCTGCCGGGAGAGAGGAGCCGCTCAGCCCGGGGGGAGCAGCCGCGGGGAGGGGAGGAAGCCCCGCGTTGGCCATTCAAAACGCATTTTCAAATACAGCCACGTCACCTCCTCTCGCCTTCCAAACCACCTTCCCTGAGGGAAATGCGGCCACCTCCGGGCAGCGCCCTGTGCCCGGGGCGAGGCCGCCTGGGGACCCACCTGGGGGACGTTGGCGAGGTGCTGCCGCAGCGTGCGCAGGGTGGTCGGCACAGCCCCCAGCCCCGGCTCCATCTGCCCCTTGACCCGCTGGCTGGTGACAAAGGCGCAGGTGACGCTGATCCTGCCGGGGATGAGCGGGCGGTCACGGGGCTGCCCCGCGGGACACGGTTCCCCCCCACCCAACACGAGTTCACGGGGCGTTCCGAGGGACTCACAGGATGACGAGGGAGGTGAAGGACAGGCAGGCCAGCAGGCAGTGCCGCCGGCAGCCCAGCGAGCGCCGGTGGGCGCGGAGGCGGCCCCCGCAGCGCCGGCGGCTCCGGCAGTAGCAGAAGCACATCCCGGCCACCGGCATGGCCACGGTGAAGAGCAGGGCCACGGCGGCACAGACCACATAGCCCAGCTCGTACTGCACCACCTGAGTGATGGGAGAGCCTCATCAGTACTGGGACACCGAGTTTGGGGTGCTCTGTGCACCCACGTGCCCTGTCCCAGGTGGATAACACTCCCGTGGGATCCCCTGCCCCACATCCCGGCTCACCTGCGATGTCCGCACTGATCCAGGGTCATTCAGGGCTGCCCGGAGCAACTCTGCAAAATAAATCATGGCACTGGTGAAATAGGTCCCACCCGATGCTCCCCCAACCTTCCCGGGGCAGCGGCACCAGGATGGAGGCAGAGTCCTCCTCCGTGGAGTGTCTCAGAGCCCCTGGAGCAGCTCCGGACATGGAAAAAACCCTGGGATTCTGGCACTTGCAGCAGTGGGATCTCGGCACGCACGGCAGTGGGATCCCAGCACCTCCAGCAGTGGGATCCCGGCACCCACAGCGGGGGGATCCTGGCACCCACAGCGGGGGGATCCTGGCACCCACGGCGGGGGGATCCTGGTACCCACGGCGGGGGGATCCTGGTACCCACGGCGGGGGGATCCTGGCACCCACGGTGGGGGGATCCTGGCACCCACGGCGGGGGGATCCCGGCACCCACAGCAGTGGGATCCTGGCACCCACAGAGTGGGATCCCGGCTCCCCGGGCTCAGGACTCACCCGTGGGCAGGGGGTTCTGCTGGATGAGGTCCAGGCAGCGCCGGACGAGCCCATAGAGGGGGTCGAGCGGGCTGGGCACGCGGTGCAGCGCCGGCACCCGGATCTCGGCGTGGCGGTCGGTGAAGCGCAGGACGGTGGCAGGGCCGGCGGGGTGACACTGCTGGGTGCCCGCGGGGTGCAGCAGTGCCCAGGCCACCAGCAGCGCCCGGGCCAGCAGTAGCCCTGCCGCCCGCATGGCTCCGGCGGCGAGAGGAGAGAGCCGGGGGGCTCCGTCAGCTTGCGAGCGGGCGGAGGGGCATTCCCAGCTCCTGGACGGCTCTCCCCAGGCACGGCTCCTGCCCCGGAAACCTGCCTGACGGGTCGGCCGCCGCGCACAGCCCAGACGCTGCCGTGGCTTGTTCCCCCGATGGGCTCCCCGGGGCGGCTGGGCTTGGCGAGGCTGCGTGGAGGCGTCTCCCAAACCATCCCGGGCCTGTTTCGCAACCCCCCCGGCATCCCTGAGTCACCGTCGAGGGGTCCCCCTCTGTCCCGCCCCTCCCTCCTTTCCCAAAACTGGTGGCAAAGAGGGGTAGGGGGTGGTGAACCCTGCGTGCCTGGGCTGGAGGGTGATTGTCCCTGTCACAGATGCATTGGAAGGAGGGATTTGGGATTTGGGCATCCCTTCGGGGGTGAAAAAGCCCTTGTGGGGGGATCCTCATCTGTGAGTGGGGTCCCTGTGTGGCAGAATCACCCTTTGGAAAAGCATCCCGAGACCTGGGGTAGCAACAAGAGGGGAAAACAGGGGGGAACACATGGAAAGGGATGCTGGGGCCCAGCTGGCAATGCCCACTTGCTGGCCAGGTGTGAGATGAGTTTTCCAGGCTCAGCCAGTCCCTGTCCCACACCCCGAGGCAGCCACAGCTCCTTCCCAGGGCCGGCTCCTGCTCCTCGGCCGAGCAATAATTACAGGCTTGGCTGGAAAAGCAGGAGGCTCAACCTGATCTCCTGTGGGGGGGAGCAGCCCCCCTGTGCCCAGACGGCCCCGGGGCACCCCCGGAGCCGGGACCCTGCTCGGTCGGGCGGGTCCAACCGGCCCTTCCCGGCGTGGATGCTAATCCCTGTGCTTCCCCTCCCTCTGGAAAAGGGGCTCTGCTGGAGGTGCCGGCAGGGTTTTTCCAGGCTGGGCACAGGAAGCTGCTCCCCACCACCCTATTGGGAGTAGGGTGCTGAGGACTGGAAAATCCTGCCCTGGCTGGGCTGGGTCCCCATCCCGGGACAAAATTCCCAGGGTCAGGAAAGCCTGGGATCTTAGCATGGTACATTTATATGCGTGTCTGTGCACGGCAAAGGAGCCTCGGCTGCCCACAGTGGGGTGGGGATGGGGATACCAGTGATGATTTCCCATTCCCAACACAATTTCCCACTCCCATGACGATTTTCCAGTCCCACCATGATTCCCATGCCCATGATGGTTTCCCATTCCCACCATGATTTCCAATCTCCACCATGACTTACCATTCCAACCATGATTTCCCATTCTCACCATAATTTCCCGTTCCCATGATGATTTTCCATCTCCACCCTGATTTCCCATTCCCATGGTGGTTTCCCATTGCTGATGGGATGGGGGATGCTGGTACTGGAGCTGTGGGTACTGGGAATGGGGTGGAGATGCAGGTTCCAGGGATGCTGGTGGCAGGATGGGGTAGGGGATGCTGACACTGGGAGTGCCAGTACTGGGATCGAGTCAGGGATGGTGGTACCAGTGCTGGTACGGGGTGGAGATGCCAGTCCTGGGGTTGTGATGCCGGTGTTGGGGTGAACTGGGGTGCTGGGACCGGGACAGCTGTGCTGGTACTGGGGTGGTGATATTGGTATGGGGCAGTGATGCTGGTTCTAGAGTGGTGGTGCTGGTGCTGGTTCTGGGGTGGTGACACCGGTACCGGGACAGTGACATTGATACTGGGGTGATGATGCTGGCACTGGAACCGAGATGCTGGTACAAGTTCTGGAGCAGTGATGCTGATTCTAGTACTGGAATGGTGATGTTGGTACTGGGGCACTGATGCTGGTTCTGGTACTGGGGTGGTGATGTTGGTTCTGGGCCAATGACACTGGTTCTGGTACTGGGCAGGTGACAGTGGTCCTGGTTCTGATTCTGGGCCATTGATGCTGGTTCTGGGCCAGTGATGCTGGTCCTGGTCCCAGTCCCAGTCCTGGTCCTGGTCCTGGTTCTGGCAATGCCCACTCACCGGCCAGGTGTGAGATGACTTTTCCAGGCTCAGCCAGCCCCTGTCCCATATACCGTGGCAGCCACAGCTCTTTCCCAGGGCTGGCTCCTGCTCCTCAGCCGAGCACTAATTACAAGCTTGGCTGGAAAAGCAGGAGGTCTTGGTGCCAGCCCTATCCTGATCCTGATCCTGATCTTGGTTCTGGTCCCGCTCCTCGTCCAGGTCCTGTTCCCTGTCCCTCTCCCTGTCCCGCTCCCTGTCCCGTTCCCTGTCCCTGTCCCTCTCCCTGTCTCTGTCCCTCTCCCTCTCCCTCTCTCCCTTTCCCGCTCCCTGTCTCTCTCCCTCTCCCTGTCCCGCTCCCTGTCCCTGTCCCTCTCCCTCTCCCGCTCCCTGTCTCTCTCCCTCTCCCTCTCCCTCTCCCTCTCCCGCTCCCTGTCCCTCTCCCGCTCCCGCTCCCGGGCCCCTCTCTCCTCGCCAGGTCCCGGGCCAGTGCCCGGGTCCCTGTCCCTGTCCCTGCCCGTCCCTGTCCCTCTCTCTCTCCCTCTCCGTCCCCTCCCGCCGCTGTCGTTCCCATCGTGACCGCTAGGCGGCGCCAGAGCCCCGCAGGGCCGCGGGGGGCGTGGTCTCGCTGCCTGTAGGCGTGTCCTTCCGTCTGGTGCTCACGATCTGTGGGCGTGGTCTAATGACTGTGGGCGTGGCCTTTATCGTGGGCGTGGCCTTGCTCTCCTCGCGGGGCCGGGGCGGAAGCGGAAGTGACGCGCGGGGCGCGGCGCCATCGCTGTCATGGCGGGCAGGGGGGCCGCCCGGGTCCCCGAGCGGTGAGTGCGGCCCTGCCCGACCCGGCCCGGCCCTGACCCACCGCGGTGGCCACGTCATTAGGAGTCGTGGGCGAGGGAGGGGAGAGGGGTGAGGGTCTGCGGGACATGGGGGTTTAAGGGTCCGCGGGCGTGTGAGGGTCGCTGGGTCTGGAAGGGTTTGGGGTCCCGGGCAGGGAGAGTTGGAGGGTCTCGGACCAGGGGGGTTGAGAGTCCTCGGGCCAGGGGGAGTTTGGGGGTCCCGGATTTGAAGGTCGGGGCAGTTTGAGGGTCCTGGGCCTGAGGGGGTCTGAGGGTCCCCAAGCCTGGGGGCGTTTGAGGTTCTCAGAGCAGGGCGGGTTTGGGGGTCCTGGGCCTGGGGGTTTGAGGGTCCTGGGGCCAGGGGAGGGTTTGAGGGTCTCCAGACCTGGGATATGTTTGAGGGTCCCCAGTGCGGAGGGTTTTGAGGGTCCCGGGCCTGGGGTCTCTCCCTCAGTTTAACCCCCCCGTGCCCGGATCCAGGTGGACAGACTACATCCCCCTGGGCAGGAGGATGCCAGGAACCCGCTTCATTGCCTTCAAGGTGCCCCTGAAGAAGGTGAGGGACCCCCAGGGGCCTGGGGGGGCATTGGGGTGGGAAAGAGCCCTGGGAAAGGGGCACTTTGTGGAGATTCAGGGAGTGAATTCCTGATGAACACAGTGCCACATCTGGGGAGTGGGGGCTGTGAGGGGTCCCTGTGGCACAACAGACCCACCTGAAACACACCCAGGGGTGAGTCCAGGGGGGTCCCAGAGCTTGTGGTGGGGAGCAGGGCTGGGTGTTCACCTGGCACAGGGGGGAGAGTCGGGCTGGGGAGCTGGGGGGGCTCAGCCTGGAGAAAAGGAGGCTCAGGGGGGACCTTCTGGCTCTGCAACTCCCTGACAGGAGGGAGGACTGGGGGGGGATTGTCGGGCTCTGCTGCCAGGGAACAAGGGACAGGAGGAGAGGGAACGGCCTCCAGCTGTGCCAGGGGAGGCTCAGGTTGGACATTAGAGAAATTCCTTTATGGAAAGGATTGGTTAAACACTGGAACTGCCCAGGGAGGTGGTGGAGTCTCCACCCCTGGAGGTGCCCAGGGAAGGCCTGGATGTGGCACTCCATGCTCTGGGCTGGGGGGGATCAGTCACAGGGTGGATTTGATGATCTTGGAGGGCTTTTCCAGCCTCAGTAATTCTGAGATTCCATGGGTCTGAGCTGAAGGATCTGGTTTACAGCTTCCACCAAACAGCACCTTTGGTGTCTGGGGGTGTCTCTCACCATGGTTCTGCCTCAGGGGGAAGTTTTTGGTGACTTTTGGAAGCCCACAACTGAGCTGTCCCAAAGCCCAGCCCTGCCCATGGCAGAGGTGCAGCTGGATGAGCTTTAAGGTCCCTCCCAACCCAACTCCTTCCCTGATGCCATGATTGGACCCAGTAACTCTGTGTCTACCTGCCTCAGCCTCTGCTCCTTCCCCGAGTCCTTCTCCCTCGTCTCCTGGAGTTCTGGAGCAGGAAATTCTTCCCACCCCTCACACACACTCCAATTTAATGTCTGCTCTGAAACATGATTTCCCCTCAGAGTTTTGACAGGAATCTCCTTCCAGAGGAGAGGTTTTCCCCTCGTGACCTCATCAGAAAAGTCAGGGAGAGGAAGGAGGAGCTGGGGCTGATCATCGACCTCACCTACACCAGGCGCTACTATGGGCCAGAGGTGAGTCTGGGACGGCTGGGAACGGGCAGGATTTGCTTCCAGGAGGAGAATTGGAAGAGTGTGAGGCACTGGAATCTCTGACAGGGCATGAGATGAACCATTGCAGCCCCATGGGGGTCTTTGTCCTTGCTCAAGTACCACGCTGGGTTCTTCAACCCCAGACCAACCAGCACAAGTTTGGGGATACCCTAAAGCTGCTTTTATGGGATCTTCTGATTGCAAACAGCTCTGAGTGTGTGGATAATTGCTTGGAAAAGTGTTCCAGCCTCTGTGTGCCCTCCCCAGGGAGGAAAGAGAGGCAGAAAAAATAATATGGAATTTTGGTGCTATGTCAAAGGAGTGAAGCAGAGCTTTTCTTACCTAAAACTGTGTTACTGCTCTTTTAGGCTCAGTTGAAAATTTCATTTTCTGGCTTCTGGTTCATTAATAATAAAAAAATCCTTATGCTTTTTCTGGAAATTATGGACTGTGCTTCTTGCAGGAGCTCCCAGCCACACTCTGCTACTCGAAGATCCTGACCATGGGCCACGAAATCCCAAACAAACAGACCATTTTCCAGTTCAAATGTGTGGTAAAGAAGTTTCTGAATGACAACAAAGACAATGGTGAGTATGGGTTTCCCTGGTGGGTGTTCTGGTACTGGGATGGGCCAGTGGTGTTTTAAGGAACAGCAGGAATTTCTTTTCCTTCCCTTGGCACGGGAATGTCAAGGCAACAGGTTGGGTTTGTTTTAGGGATGGAATTCCTGTCGTCCCTGATAATCCAGGCCAGGTTGGACAGGGCTTGGAGCAACTTGAGACAGTGGTAGGTGTCCCTGCCCCTGTCAGGGACTGCCACTGGAGGGGCTTTAAAATCCTTTCCAGCCCAAACCATTCCATGATTCTGGGATAACTGGGCAGTGAGTGGAACTTTAATTGAGTTTGAGTCATGGGACTGTAGCAGAAGTAACGAGTTCTATCAGGGCTGCTAGTTAGACATAATAGACATAAATAAAGTTAGACATAATAAATACAGTAAGTAAGAGAAGGTAAAAATAAATATTAATAAATAAATTAAACATAATTAGACATAAATATCGTGATGTAATATTGTGTGTGCCCACTTCTGTGTAGTTGATTGGTGTCTGATGGAGGGTTAATGCAGAGGGGCTTGTTTGGGGGGGATTTTGGGGAAAAGACACTTAAATATCCTCTGATTTGTGTGTTACAGACAAACTCATCGGGGTTCACTGCACCCATGGCTTGAACAGGACTGGATACCTGGTGTGCAGGTGAGTTGTCCTTATCACAGGGGGTTAAGTGGTGGCATTTCCAGGAGGAAATAATGCCAAGGAAATAGAGTCAAGTGATCTGTGTAATCCCAGACTTCCGTAGATTTTCAGTTTTTATTAGGGACACTTTTTATTCCAATTTCAGCACAGCAGGTGCTGATACTCCAGTCTGGCATGTAAATAAAAGCTCTGCAAACCTCCCAGTTCCTTCTTCTCTTTGAATCATCACCAACCTGTGGATGTTTTCCTCGTTAATTGTGTGTAATTAGGGTTTTCTTGCTGCTCTGCTCAGGTACCTGATTGATGTTGAAGGCATGGAGCCAAACGCTGCCATAGAGTGTAAGTGTGGGTTCTTGATTGGATGTGGGGTGTTTATTGGGATTTGGGATGGTCAGAAGGTTTGGGGTGGCCCCAGGGAGGGGAGCTGTGCTTGGTTGAAGGGGTTAAAATCCTTGTGAAGGGTTTTAGCTGCTCTTCAGCCCCAAAGGCTGTAGCTCAGACCTTTCCCTCTCCAGTGTTCAACAAATCCCGAGGGCATCCCATAGAGAGAACCAACTACATCCAGGATCTCAGGAACAGAGCTGGGAAAAAGTGAGTCCTGGTGTGTCCAGAAGTGAGTGATGGGCCCTGGGAATGCTGCTGGAAAGGAACAGGGGATAAACATGGATGGCTCCAGGAAGGGAGGTGGGACAGGCCAGTGGGGAAGGTAGGAGAATGGGCAGGGAGAACAGGACATTGGGAATGGCTTAAAACTCACAGAGGGTGGGGTTAGATGGGATATTGGGAATGGATTCTTCCCTGGGAGGGTGGGGAGGGGCTGGGATGGAGTTCCCAGAGAAGCTGTGGCTGCCCCTGGATCCCTGGAAGTGTCCAAGGCCAGGTTGGAGCAACCTGGGCTAGTGGAAGGTGTCCCTGCCCATGGCAGGGGGTGGCACTGGGTGGGCCTTAAGATCCCTTCCAACCCAAACCATTCTGGGATTCTGTGATGGCTTTAAAGATCCTTTTCTTTACTCTGCTTTCTTTCCTTGGCCCTTCCCTTTCCGGGTGAGCAGTGCCACAAAGGGGTGGGTTTGGGTGTGGGGAGCTGATGTGGTCACTCAGTGGACACAGGAACACACGGAATTCTCTTTAAGGAAGTGTGGACTGAAGAGTTTGGGCTCGGGCCCCTTCAGAGAAAAAAGCAGCGCCCCAGCAAACCCCAGAAAGCAGATGGTCAAAGCCCACCCTCCTCGCTCAGCCCAGCCCCCCCTGGCAGTGCCCAGGTAGGTGTTTGTCCCTGCCCTCTGTGCCCTGAGCTGAGCAGGCACAGCCAACAGCTGCTCCCTCAGGTTTAAACACCCTGAACTGGACTTTTCCCGAGACCCACCCATTGCCTTCCCAGCTCTGAGGGGGAAAAAACCTCTCTGAAATTATTGTGTCAGTGGTGAGGTTCTTGTGCCTGCAAAGCTCTGCCTCTGAGTGACATTCCTGTGCCTGTGGATGTGGAATGACATCCCTGCCAGGGCTGGAGCTGGTTCTCAGTGGGGCTGGAATGTTCTCCTGCTGAGGCATTTAAAGGATTTTGGATCAGCAAGTGAGGCAGCTCCTCCCTGAGAGTGAAGAGGGGCCTCTCCCTGTTCCTGAGCTCAGCTGGGAAGAGGCTTCCCCTTGTCCTGGGGGGCAAATCCCAGCTGGGAGAGGTGTCCTCCCACCTGTGTGGGAGCTCCAGACCCACTGCAGGGACATGTGTGGAGCCAGGGGGCCTCCGAGGGGCTTGTCCAGCCCCACCCTGAGGGGCAGGAAAAATGATCCCTGCTGAAAACTTCACTTGCTGTGGGAAATCAAGAGGTTTTTTTCCATTTCTCCCCCAATTTTCACCCCATTTCTTCCTGTTTTTCCTGTTTCCTCCCAGTTTTTCCTGTTTTTGCCCCATTTTCCCCTTTTCCCTTTGTTTTTTTCCCCCATTTCACCCCATTTTTTCTCATTTTTTCCCCCATTTCCTCCCGCTTTTTCCCGTTTTTTGTCAATTTGTCCCATTTCCCCCACCATTTTCACCTAGTTTTTTCCCTTTCACCCCATTTTATCCCAATTTTTCCCATTTTCCCCCATTTTCCCCCCGTACCAGGCCCAGCAGGACTGGTGAGTTCTGGCCACGTGTCCCCACAGACTCATTTTACACCAATTTTAACACTGTTTTTCCTATTTTTTCCCATTTCTGCCCCATTCTTTCCCATTTTCTCCCACTTTCACCCTGTTCCCCCCCATTTTCTCCCTTTTTCACTGCATTTTCCTTTGAGCTGGGCGTTCTCCCAGGATGCCCCACCTTTCAGGAAAAGGCACCAGGTAAGCCCAGAGGGGGTTCACAGCCCTCCTTTTTGGGGTTGATTGGGGCTGATTCCTGATTTTTTCCTTCCAGGAATGCTGGCAGTGCCAAGAGGAAGCACCAGCCCAGCCCCACGGCCCTGGCACAGCCCCTGGATTTGGGACACGGGCAGGAGGCCCCGGAGCAGAGGAGGATGTGCAGCCTGGCCCCCAGGAACTGTTGGGTGTCACCCAAGGGACTCTCTTTCCCCCACCCCCAGAATTCCCAGAACTCCCAGAAGGCCACACCCGCCAGGAAGCGCCGGCACCGGCGCAGGAAACACGTGGGGACGGAGCAGGGAATGTCCTGACAGCGCCCAGGGAACGCTGTGCTCCCAGGGAATGCTGTGCTCCCAGGGAATGCTGTGCTCCCAGGGAACGCTGTGCTCCCAGGGAACGCTGTGCTCCCAGGGAACGCTGTGCTCCCAGGGAACGCTGTGCTCCCAGGGAATGCTGTGCTCCCAGGGAATGCTGTGCTCCAGGACGGCCCGTCCATGGACTCGTCTCTGCCCCCAGGGAGCGCCGGGATGGGGCTGGAACGGCTGGAATGAGGGGCTGGAGCTGCCAGGAACTGCCAGCCCGGGGGTTGCTCAGCTCAGCAGGGCTCTGCTTTTTAATTTTTCTCTCTTTCCTCAAACCCCCCCCCCGATGATTTTATGGATCTCGCAGGAATTTTCTACTCTTACACCGTAACTCTGCTCCCAGAGGGATGTGAGGAATAAACAAAGACTCGGAGCTGGGAGAATCCTAAAAGAACACCCCTTAACCTTCAACAGAAAGAGCTTTTCTGTTGGTTTCCTCGATATATGACAACAAATAGGATTTGGCCTGAAAATACAGGATTTTTCTTTCCCTCCTTTTCACTCATTTTTGCTGAAGTAAAATCCCTGCAGTGTGTAAAACCTGTGTGGAGCTGTGTTTTCCCCCTGGGTGGACCTGAGGAGCCTGGAAGGCTGAGCCCAACTGGACTTGGGGTTGCTGGGCCCGTTTTGGGGTGAGAAGGGCCAGTTTTGGGATGGGAAAGGGGGTTTTGGGGTCAGAAGGGCGGTTTTGGGGGTGAGAACGGCTGGTTTTGGGGTGAGAAGGGCAGTTTTGGGGTGGGGACATCCAGCTTTGGGGCGGGAATGGTTGATTTGGGGGGCAGAAGGGCTGGTTTTAGAGTGGGAATGGCCAGTTTTGGGATCAGAAGGGTCGGGTTTGGGGGCTGGGAGGGGGTTTTGGGGGTGAGAAGGGCAGTTTGGGGGAAAGAAGGGCCGGTTTTGGGGCAAGAAGAGCCAGATTTGGGGTGGGAAGGGCGGGTTTTGGGGCGGGAAGGGCCGGTTTTGGGGTGGTCCGGAGCCAAGGGCGCTGCCCCTTTAGGGGTGACGTCATCACGCCCGACGTCCCGCTGAGGGCGCTGAAGTCGCGGCACGGCCGGGCGGAAGCGGGCGGTGCGCGTGGCGCTGCCCGGATGTGGCGGCGGCGTCGGATTGGTCGGCGGAAGCGAGGCAGGCGGGGCGGGGCGGCGGCGGTCGAGGAAGAACCCGGAAGTGCCGAGGGGAGGCGGTGGCAGGTCCAGGACGGGCCCCGGGGATGGGGAGGGATCCCGCGGATGGGGAGGGATCCCGGGGATGGGGGAGCGGCCTGAGGGGCTGGGGGAGCGGGACTGGGGAGGCCGCCGGTTGTGTGAGGTGGGGTCTGGCATCGAGGGCAGGTCGGGGGGTCTGGCTGGGGGAGGTTTCCTTGGCAATGGGGATCCACTCGGGAGTCTCTGACTGGGGGGTCTCTCACCTTAGGAAGGAGGATCTTAGGAAAGGGGAACTGCTCAGGAAGGGTCCGGCTGTGGGATCTTTTCCTTAAGAAGGGGCTCTGTGGGATCTTCCCCTTTGGAAGGGGGATCTTTACCTTAAGTCCCCTCTGCCTTAGGAAGGAGGATCTGGTCAGGGCTGAAGGATGTTTTCTTAGGAAGGAGGATCCATTAAGGAGTCTCTGGCTGTGGGATCCTTCACCTTGGGAAGTGGTATCTTTCCACTTAGGATGGGGGATCCAGTCAGGGCTGTGGGATCTTTCTCCTTTGGAAGAGAGATCTTTCCCTTAAGAAGGAGAATCCACTTGGGAGTCTCTGGCTGTGGGGTCTCTCACCTCAGGAAGGAGGATCCTTTCCCTTAGGAAGGGTGAACTGGTCAGGAGGGGTTTGGCTGTGGGATCTTTCCCCTTGGGAAGGGGGATCCGGTCAGGAGTTCTCTTCCCAAAGAAGGGAATCCTTCTTTGGCTGTAGGATCCTTCCCCTTAGGAAAGGGGATCTTCTCCTTAGGAAGGGCTCTGGCTGGAAGATCCTTCCCCTCAGGAGGGAGGATCTTTTCCTTGATAAGGGGGATGTCTCCCTTATGAAGAGGAATCTGGTCAAGGGCTGTGGGATCTTCCCCTTAGGAAGGGGGATCCACTCCGGGGGCTCTGGATATGAGGGTGTTTCTCTCTGGGAAGGGGATCCTTCCCCTTATGAAGGGATATCTGCTCAGGAGGGGTTTGACTGTGGGATCTTTCCCTTAGGATTTGCTCAGGAGTCTCTGGCTGTGGGATCTTTCCCCTTGTGAAGGGGGATCCACTCAGGAGGCTGTGGGTGTGGGCATGTTTCTCCTTAGGAAGGGGGATCCACTCAGGAATTCTTGGCTGTGGGATCCTTCCCCTTAGAGAGGAAGATCCCTCCCTTAGGAAGGGTGAACTGGGGGAGGGATCTGGCTGTGGATCTTTTCCTTAATAAAGGGGATGTTTCCCTTAGGAAAAGGGATCTGGTCAAGGGGGTCTGGCTGTGGGATCTTCCCTTAGGAAGGAGGATCTTTCCCTTAGGAAGGGGGAACTGCTCAGGGGCAGCTCTGGCCGTGGGATGTTTTCCTTGGTCACAGGGGCTCTGTGGGATCCTTCCCCTTAGGAAATGGGATCCAGTCAGGAAGGGCTCTGGCTGTGGGATCCTTCCCTTTAGGAAGGGTGAACTGGTCAGGAGGGGTCTGTCTGGCTGTGGGATGGGCAGGGGGGCTGTTTTGGGGGGGCAGACAGTGTGGGGGGACTGTTTTGGGGGGATCAGGTGGTCTTGGAGGGGCTCCTCTGCTCTCCCCAGCAGGGCTTGGAGGGTTGTGGGGGGCTCTAATTTTGGGGAGGGGTCTCCCTCTCTCCTGGTGGGCTGGGGAGGGGCTGGAGTTTGGGGCTTGCAGTTTGGGGGGGTTGGTTTGGGCACTTTATTTTGGAGGGGGGGCTGTGGGATCAGAGGGGGGCTCTGCTCTGGGGACACTGGGAGTTATGGGGTGAGTGAGGTCTGTTCTCCCATGGGAAAAACTATGGGATTTGGTGGGGGGGGGATTATTCTGGGGAGGGATCAGAGCTCTGGCTTGAGGAAGGGGGAAAGCTGAACCCCCAGCAGAAGCATCAGTTTTGGGGGGGAAGCTGAAGCCCCCCCTGAGCTGAGCTGTCTCATCCCAGAGAAGCCAAATCCCACAGGGAAAGGGGCTTGGGGGGGCTGGGAAACATGGGAAAAAGGGGCTCCTGCTCTGGGATAACCCCAGGAGGGCCTGTCCTCCTCCACCAGGTTCAGCTGGGGCCTTTTCCTCCTTCGGGAAGGAGCCACAGTCCGTCCTGGCACTGTGGAATTGCTGGAAGGCTTGGGAGGTGCTCTGTGATTCCCCAGGGAGTTTAACCCTTGTGTGGCTCCAGAGTGGCTTTTCCAAGGAAAACCTGCTCCTGGTGGAGCAGGAGAAGCGTTGTGGAGGTTCCTGGGCTCGGTCTGGGCGCTTCCTCCCCATGGAATCCATTGGCTCCTGCCGTGGGTGAGGAGGGTTTGTTGGGAAGCAGCCCCATGGATCAGATTGTGGAGCATTCCTGGGATCATGGGAGTGCCTCTCACAGCACTGGGAGAGAGGGACTGAGAGTTTGGGAAGGAGCCTGTTGGGTGAGGAGGGATCTGGGAGGATCCTTTGGCACCATCCACATCCCATGAGGAAAAGGCTGCAGAGTTGAAACCTCTTGTGGAGCTGCTCCTGGGAAATTCCTTGGCTTTGTGATCCCAAACTGGGCACCAGCACTGGGTTTGTCCTGTGGAGAAACAACTGGGAAGAGCTGCCTTGGGTGGGATTTAGAGGGACCAAACCCAGCAGAGCTTGAAATTAATGTCCAGGGACTGACATGATTATATTAGTTTCTGTTTATTCACACACACATATATATATAATTATATCTTATAATAATTTCATTAATATATATAACATATTATACATTCTATATTATATTATAGATAATATTACTTTTATTAATATACATATTTCTATTACAATATATTAGATTACCTTATTAATATATTGTTATATTATCTTATGATACATTATTTATTTTTATATCTATTATATGCTATTAATTTTATATGTACATATATTAAAACACAGCTATATATTATATTAATTTTATTAATATTATATATTATTTATTATATTATAATACATTATCTATTTATATCTATTATATTAATTTGTGTAATTTTATATAATATATACTTCTATTTATTATATTTATATATATAAAAATATATATATATTTATATATATATAAAATTATATAAATTAATGCCAGGGACTGAACGTGCAGCTGCTTTGAGGTCACAGGGGTGAATATCCCAGTGCTGTGTCCAAACAGAGCTAGGCTTTTCCCAGATTTCTCCCTCAGGACCTGGCTTGACTTGTGGATTAAATGTTTTTTCTGCCAAGTGGGGATGATTTGTGTCAGGGAAAGACAATCCTAAGGAATGTGGATGAGGCAGCTCAGGACTGGAACAGGGACTGGAACAGGGACTGGAACAGGGACTGGAACAGGATCCCCGTGGTTTAAGCCAGAGCTCCAGGAATGCTTGGACAATGCTCTCAGGGACAGGGTGGGATTATTGGGGTGTCTGTGGGATCGTTGGGGTGTCTGTGGGATGGTTGGGGTGTCTGTGGGATCGTTGGGGTGTCTGTGGGATGGTTGGGGTGTCTGGGATAGTCGGGGTGTCTGTGGGATAGTCGGGGTGTCTGTGGGATAGTTGGGGTGTTGGGATTATTGGGGTGTCTGTGGGACTCTTGGTGTGTCTGTGGGATTATTGGGGTGTCTGGGACAGTCGGTGTGCCTGTGGGAGTGTCCGTGTGTCCGGGATAGCCGGGGTGTCTGTGGGATAGTGTCGGGGTGTCTGCCTGTGGATGTGGGATTGGGGTGTCTGGGAAGTTGGTGTCTGTCTGGGATAGTTGTTGTGGGGTCCTGTGGGATAGTTGGGGTGTCTGTGGGATTATTGGGGTGTCTGTGGGATTGGTGTGTCTGTGGGATTATTGGGGTGTCTGGGACAGTCGGTGTGTCTGTGGGAGTGTCCGTGTGTCCGGGATAGCCGGGGTGTCTGTGGGAGTGTCCGTGTGTCC